TGACCTATTTGACCAATAACCAAAACAAAAAAAAATGTAAACAGCTGTTAGTGTTGAACAGTTAACAGTCAATAACCAGTGAAGACAGTTCAGAGTTATCAGCTGCTGTGCAACCTGCAAAGTTTTAAAAGTCAAGTTGAGGAGCAAGCAAGCGTTGGGAAGTTGTAAGTGCACGAGGACGCTCATCAGTCTCCTGGAACTGCATTTGTGCATGTGGAGCAGTTAAGCCATAACTACGGTTTCCACTCCTGGACAGTCCTGTCTGCACTTGGTCACACTAACCTTTTACATTTGGATGCATCGGTGTCGACACTACAATCCAGCAACATTCCCTAAATTACTCAAACGTATCAGTGAAACCTGTAGTATCCGCTCACTTACTGCAGCAGACATTTACTTTGAAATGAAATAATGTTTTAATGTCACATTTATCCAAGATCAAACTGAGTAATTAAACTACTACTACTTGGACGGACCAAAGACAAACACGCAAACCTGTCAAATGCCGGCAGCACCAGTGTCGCCACGAGAACAGTCGTACCTGATCAACTTCTGGCCCAACGTGGAACTAAAAACACCTCGTAAACATCCGAAAGAGGACAAGGAGACAAGAGACACGAGCTGTCCAGTGTAGAGAAATGAGAATATTAAGACCACACGGTGTGATTTGTGATTTAAATTAAACAGAGTGTCTTAAATATCATGATTAAAACTCTATTAAATGATTAAAAAACACAAATTTGCCTCACTACATTAAACTGCACAGTTAGGACCCGGCTGTGTTGATAACTGTGGAGATTAGCCTGACTCATTTACATATTAAACCCTGCTAGAAGACCGACTAACCAACTGTCAACGCTGGTATTTGTGGGTCTAAATGAAGGTGAACATTATTTCTCTCTTGCTACCAGTGAGGTTGATGCATCTGTTTCCTGAATGAGCTGTGAAGTCATACTGCCCCTAGTGGTGGACTGAGAGTCCTGCGTGCGCCCCACCATGCTTGTAGTTTCCTCATCTGCAGTCAAATGTGTTCACAGCCTCCCGTTAAAGAAGGAAAAAAACCCAACTGTCACTGAAATAAGTTGAAACTGACAAAAATAATAATAAATAAAAATGTGATGAACATCATGGCATTGCTTTTGAATTGTGGTTCAGCAGAAATAAATATTAAAAAAACAAAAAAACAAAAAAAAAACAGCCTGATGGGACCCGTGAACTAACATGTAGTTGAACAACCCTCTGAGCCAATCACTGCCATCAGGTGTTTCCTGTAACTCTCAGTCAGACTTGTGCACCTGTTGACAGGTATTCTGGACCACTGCTCACCTGCTCATCAGCAAAGGCCTCTCATTTGTCCGGGACAGTTTTTTTTTAAAAATTATTCTTTTCACCACAATTCAAAACGCACGTCTTATTTCACTAAATTATAATTTTACAAATTTTTATTTATTATTACTTTTTTCAGTTTCTAGTTATTTGAGTGACTGTTGTGGATTTTTCCTTTTCTTTAATGGAAGGAGATGAATACGTTTGAGGACATAGTTATGGTGGCAAACGTTTCTCTGTGGACATGTTTTTGTTTTTTTTCTTCTCATATTGTATTTGATGATTTCTTTCATTTCAAAGTGACAATTCATGAAGATAAGTCTGTCAAGACCAGGTTTTGGTGCCTCATCTATCCTCTGATTTGCCATAAATGTATTGATTGTTCCTCTTGCATCGACTGTCACCTTTTGGTGGTTCAGAGTCTCAGTTTGCACTCCCAGTGAGCTGCTCGATAATATCCTGTTCAGCGCATCTCCTTCATGCTGTCCAGGTGACTGTGAGCTTCATGCATGTCAGGTGTCAACAACAACAACAACAACAACAACAAAACACAAAAGAAGAAGAGAAAGGAGATTTGTACTTACAACAGGTAGCAGCAGACTGCAGTGAGGATGAGACTGGTGACAATCACTCTGTAGGATGACAGAGGAGTCAGTCACACACATGTCCAGTTTTCTAAATGTCATATTAGTACATAGCAGTTTGCAGCTGAAGTTCTCTGAAGTCTGTGCAAATCATTTAATTCAGTTTTGGGGGCTTTTAGTGCTTTTCAACCTTGTGATTTTAAATTCTTTGACACGTTACTGTGGATATGCTGTAATAGTTTAGTACGTGAACCACACGTGACTTTGCTGTCCTGTAAGTTGTACCTGAGCAACACGGAAAAAGGCGACAGGATTAGTTCCTTGCATTTGGAAAGTCTGGTGTCATCAGCACACCACAGTTTGAATACTGGGCCATGGCACTGCTGATCTCGTGGTGTGTTTTCCAGCATAGAGACGTGTCTGAGAGGTCTGATTGTGACTGAAGGCGCTTTTACAGCTATTCATGAGTCTTCATTCAGACATGGGACAAAAACACATTTGCACTGCTTTCCAGAAATGATTCATTTTCTTTTCCTCGGCTTGTCTAATGAGTGTAAATACAAAGATACTATCATCCTTAAGAATAAACAGAACACCGCATCAAACTACTGTCTCTGGTTATGAAGTCAGACACGTTAGAAGGACTTTTGTCTCCAAGTAAAATGGCAGGAATAAATAAAAACTGAAATAGAGACAGGTCATTTTGAGTCACGGTTGTTCTTGTGAGGAGGCTTCTGTCTTCCAGATGTAAACATATTCTACATTTTACTAAACGGAGACGCTCCAGATGCCACAGTCCTGCCTCTGATCGTGTGTTCCTGTAGTTAGCCCAGCTACTTATCCGTTTGAGCTTAAATGCAATCTTCAGATGAATTAAATGCAAATAAATTGATGAATGACTCTCACACTGGAGCCAAAATGATGTTTCCATGCTGCCTGTGTTGATGTGACCCTTCAACCTTACTGGTACAGTGTGTGTGGTGGATGTAGGAGGGATGGAGGATGGATGGAGGGATGGAGGATAGAGGGAGGGATGGATAGAGGGATAGAGGATGGAGGATGGAGGGATGGAGGATGTTTCCCCGGATGACGCAGGGCCTCCATCACATGAGCAGGAGGCTACTCTGGGCTCATGTCTTTGTAATGACGCCATGCAGCTGAATACAGCCAAAACTGTAAACACTGAGTACATTTAATAGCTAACCGGGATCGCGACACTACAAAACGAGAGGAGAACTGCCGTTAACTGCAGCCAATTAACAGCGGCTCCGCCACCTACCCCCGGTTGGGTCCTTTGGGCACTAAAAACGGGGCCACGACCCCCACCAGCGCCCATAACGTGGTGAAGCAGATCATCGGCAGGGCGAGCGAGTGAGACACCATGGCTTCGGTCGGCACAAAAACCTCAGAAAGGGAAGAAAGTATCTCGGTTTGTCCTCTTGGAAATAAAGCGCATCAATGGCCGCTGAGTCAGCCCGTCCCTTCCGCTATGAGCCCGCCCAACTAATCCGACGCGGCACGTGATTGGTCCAGGTCTCTCTGGCCGCGGCGTCTGATTGGTGGATCGGGCTGCCTTTCAGGATTACAGGGAAGGGATTGGGCTGGTGTTGGTGCCATCAAACAGAAGGTGAATCGTCTCTGTGTGTGTGTGATATATATTTATTTATCATCTTCCACCCACGTACTTGGATCCATCATTTGAACTCCTTTGATGTTATTTATTGAGCAGGAAAAGACAGTAAAACAAATTAAATCAGAGTTTTGTTATTTTTATTGGTAGATTTAATCATCTCTCATGGTTAAAAAATAATACAAACTTCTTTAATTCTCACAAATAAATACTGATTCATATTTTAAAACAAGTCAAGCACTACAGAAACTAATTATGAGTACATGCATACAGCAGCAGAGACATTACTGACTGTGTATTTTAATATATACACCTGCTTATATCAAATCAACTTATGTTTTGCAAGTTTTAGTTATTGCTAGAAAAACGTCTTAATATCCTGTAGTCGCTCCTCAGCAATTGTAAATAAATAGAAAACAAAACCATATAACATAGAGTGTGTTGTGAGTCGTGTAATTTGTGCAGTGGATCGTGACAGACATGCAGTAAACCTGACATATCTTTTTTTCTTTTCAGTCTTTATCCAAATTGGAACACACCATAAATTATGGAGTAGTGAGAGTGCCAAATTACAAAAAATAAATCAATTAAGGAATAAAAGAAAAAAAAAAAAGAAAGAAGAATAAATAAAATAAAAAATAAATAATGTGGCAATATTCATCAAAAATTAATCCATAAAAGAAAAGACTAATAAAAGTAGAAATATAAAGAGAAATAAATAAAATAATAAGAATTAGAATTATTATTTTTAAATCATTTTTATTTTTTATATTATTTTTAATTTTTTAATTTTAATTAAAAAAATTGTTTAAAATGTATTCATTTATTTATTTTTATTTTTTACTTTTAAAGTGCTTTTTAGATGTCGCTTTAAAAGCAAAAGAAATACGCGCAGAAGAATATTTGCGGTAGGAATGTTGTTGTGCCTTTGCTTTTAAAGTGACATTATTAAAAAAATAAAACTAAAAAATTTAATAAAAATGAAGAAAAAAATGTTTAAAAAAATAAAATGGTACATAAAAAATAATGAAAAAAAAAATCATGTTTTTAATATTTTATTTATTTTTCTTTATATTTCTACTTTTATTAGCCTTTTTTATGGATTCATTTTTGATGAATATTGCTTTATATTGCCACATTATTTATTTTTTATTTTTCTTTTTATTTACATTTTTGTTTTTTATTCTTTTATTGATTTATTTTTGTAATTTGGCGCTCTCACTACTCCATGATAAATAACTGAGAACTGTAATTTAAGATGCAAGTTAGGCGCTGCGAGTCTCACTGCTACATGCCATTCATCAGTGCATGTCCAGTGTTTCTACAACGCTGCCACCATCCTCTGATATTATCTTGGTAAAGAACGATGCAGCCGGTTCATGACGGTGCTGATGTTCCTGGCAAAAACCCATCATGTGAAACACAGAGCAAAAGTACCACCCAGTGGACAAAGACGTCAGTCTGCACTCATTCATGAGGATCTTATTCAGAAGCACTAATATTCATTTCAGCCAGAGCAGAAACCGCTGCTTCTTAGTTTTTGCATATATCTTACCTGGCCTGCACCAATTAAAATAATATATTTGAAGTGAATAATTTGAACGCATCTTTTCTCATCATAAATACCATCCTATATTATTATTTATATGTCCTATTTCTTAGTTGCACATCACCTGCCTTATAGGATGCTCGAGTAAGGATTTGATGGTGTTACTTCAATAAAATAAATGGGAAAAGGAAATAAAATACAATCAACAAACTAAAAATGTAAGTATAGTTTCTGTGTGCTTATTCGTTAACACCGATCATTTAAATTTAGAAAATTAGATTTAATAGAAATGCTGCTTTGACCCACTTTGTTCTCTCAGTCTTGAATAGTTTGGTATTAAACCATGAGCACAGTGTTGATCAGAAAGACTATTTTCAAATTCCCTCTGGTTTTATTTTGGCTGCGACCTCAAATATTCAAGTTGTTCCTGTCGTCGTTTTATTGTGAAGGGACGGACAGCGGTTGGTCCTGACGGCAT